GGTCACATGTCGAAACGGTTTAAAGAACGAGGCATTAACACCATTGTTTCTTTTGTTATTCACCAAGATAGAAATAAGTGGTCGGGTAGTTGGCTACAGTCATTAAAGAAGTGACATTCATGAATATATAATATCATGCCACAGAAAGTCTACCAAACATGGAACCTACTAAATAATAAATAAAGACGTTTATAAATCTGCCATTAATGAAGAAATTCCAGAGAAACGAAGAAAAATAAGCATTTGGTAAGTGTTGTTATGGCACGTGTCGTGGAAACAAGCAGACCGGCTTTATCGATTTACACGACATTCGCCCGTGTGTATAACCAAACCAAACAGTAAGATGTGCTATTTGAAGTCATCTACCGATCACGGGCGTCAGCTTTCATGTATTAAAGCGTTTGAGATACACGACACGTTATAGAAAAATTCACTAACCTCATGATCACCCTTCGGCGCCATCTTGGATTTCAGTTTTAAAAGATTATCACGCCCTATGATTGGCTGCTTGTACTCGGTTTTCCCGCGTTTTTGGACTGCCGGCCGTCGCCAGCCGGCGACCCCCAGCAGCATGTGGTCTTGTTGTTTTGTTTTTTTAGTTTGTTTGTTTTTTCGTGGAATGAGCCGTATCGTTTTCTTTTAGTTTATCCTTGAATTTTAGTGTATAATTCGAGTGGCAAGAAAAACGGGAATTTGTAGTCATGTGGTGTTGTTCTTGCCGTAGAGCAGGATGTAAAAACCTGTCCGCGAAAGTCAAGCGCACTTTTATATTTGTCACTCGTGGTTGATCAAGTTTTTAAATTTCTTTCCTCTTCCATTTCTTTCGGCTTTTGTCCAGCAGCAGTCAAGACCGAGAGGAGGTGAGTTTTCATTGAATGATTGGTCAAGCACGCGTTTCCCCAGTGACAAACTAATTTAAAAACTAACTACTATTCTTGGGTAGGGAAATGTAGACATTTGTTTGGTTTGTATGTTTGTTTTTTTTCAGGAAACGATATTTAGTAATGATTGAATTAGGCTGAGTATCATCTGATGATACGAAAGCCGAATTCAATAATTTTTTTTATATTATTTATTCAAAATCATTCCTAGTTCATCTTCAATTGCCTGTTTATCGGCAAGTTTAAGAGTAGCCTGTTCCAGGCTCTCAGATAGTGGGGAACACGCGAAAGTAAAAAGCACGCGCGACGCAAAAAGTTGGCGGGACGAAAAAGAGGAAAAGGAAAGTTTCCTCCCGTTTTAGTTTTGTCTTCGCGCTTTCTCAATTCAGCGGGCCCGACTATAGGCTAGTTTAGGAGGTAAAGGGTTGTTCAGTACTCCAAATATTCCCCAATTAGCAGATGTCGTCCTTCGAGTTGTCTTCTTGTTACTCTCGCTTGCTTTAGCAGCGAGACTCTTAAAATGCAGGCGTTTCTCTTCTTTTTTTCCTGTGTCCTTGCCAAAAAGGGAAGTCATGGTCCCAGGAGTTTTTGGCGAAGTCCGTGGAAACTGGGGAATCGCGGCGTGACGAAAGCCACGAATTCTATCGCTTGAAAGCGTTGATTACTTTGGAACAAGTGATTACTTTAATGGTCGAAAAGAAAAAACGATCTTAATGAGCAAAACTTCGATGGTGAGGCTAACTGGTCGGGTGTTGTAAACTTTCATTGTATGCAAATGAGTTTTGTGCTGAGCATGCATGGGGTGACGATTGAAATGACACGCCACGTTCATCATGTTTCCTTGATTTTCGTGCATTTACTACCCTGCGAACAGAGTCTCCTTCGATCTTCGTAGAGGGAGAATCTGCTCGCAGAGTATGCATTTACACACGCGTTCTTCGTCGAATACGATATAAAAAAATAAATATCCTGAAGAACACTCGACCGTCGATAAAGGTCAGGGTTGAAGTGAAAAACATTTAACGAGGAAATCCTGTTAAGAGTAGAATTAATCGCCTACTAGACTGCGAGCAGTCACTTATTTCCCTTTTGAGTCACAGTAGGTCGAGACAGAAGCATGCTTCTGATAGACAGCATAATTTTACTTTTTCGCTCACCGTGCGTGGCTCTGAGGAAAGATTAACAACCGCTCGCGGTCTTATTTCCTCCTCACGCAGGCTCACGCATTGTCGTTGCAACCTTCTTATCTACTAGTATGTTAGTGAATTGTATGTTGGGTGCGCTGATATCTAAATTTAACGGTAGGCGCTGAGCCAGTAAGAAGACATTTAGTAAGTACAATGTATAATCACGCATATTATAAAAAAAAGGCCAGATACTTTATAATGATCACGTACACTTTTCCATATTTCAAAATAAACTTTTTTACTCATTGTTTAGCTATTGTTTCACACCTCGGTCCAACAAGACTTTCTTGCTGTTTTATTTTTTCTGTTAGAAATGTTCGCCACTGTTCGGCTGTTTGGATATTAAGTTCGTGTAACTGAGAAACAACATAACAAGCAAGTTAGACAACCCACAAGACCCGGGTCTCGTATCCAGCGGACGTTAACACTTGCCCAAGGCTTAGTCTAGGTACGTATGGTACCAAGACTCACATGAATTAAAAAACGTTGGTATAATAATTCGTCGTTATAGCTAACCATAAATCCTCTATTTAACACTCCAGGGGCTTATTCATTTCAATCACATTGCAGAGGTGGGGCAGGGTTAATAGAAAGGAGAACTTTTTATATTTTTAGATGATTGTTTCAAAGAATTAACCAGAATGCAAAGTGGAAAAGCCAAGCCCCACGGGGGGATACTCCCTTATATAAGCAATATAAGTATGTGCCGCCCCAAAGGGTATGTTTTTGCCGCCGTATCGATCTGAAAACGGGTATAGATTTTTTTCATTTTGGAATGGAATGGGGTATGGTTTTCAAAGAAACTACGGAAGTGTATGAACATATTTATCGTTTCAATTCCAAATGAATCAGAAAGAAAGAGTAATATGCGAATTCGAAATGGATTTTAAGAAATCTTTTTGTTTGAGCTTTAGTTTGAAAATGATGACTTAATTTCTACATATACCAGGTCTGAAAAGGGGTGTGGAAAATAACATTTTTTAGTCTGAAATGGGGTCAGAATTCGGAGCTACCAAAAATCCCCGGGAATACCCCCACGGGGCAAGCCACATCAGAAGTTGGGTTTCGTCAGTGCAGCCAAGGATCAAAAACAAATCCAGACTTCCTACATGTGAATAAACCACACTAGATTAGTCCACATGAAGAGATACAGTACTCTATCAATTAAGAATATGGGGGGAAGGGGCCTCAAGGAGAGCGGAAGGGCTAATAGCTTTCTTCCTCTGAAAAAGGGGGGGACGTAATAGAGGATTTATGTTACTTCAACTATTAAACCAAAAACACTACTGCGACTAAGCATATCGGAAGTTATCTTTTCTACATCTGTTCTCTCAATTTGTGACTATCCCGCCCTCCTCATGTTTTCTTTCCTTGGTTAGCCTCCTTTGTCCGTTAAGATAGGAAATTGAAACTATCAAAATAATAAATCCCGATTGGTGTTTTTCGCTATGTTTCTACAGGTCCTTTGGTCAAAATCAAGTCATTGTTGTTTTCCTCTAAGAAAACGCGTTTGTCACTCCTTCAGTTTATCTTCTCTAAAACTGAAGATTCGTCTTAAAAGGACTAACTTTAATATGTCGAGGCCTTTTGTCTAGTGCCACCGACTGAGGCATAAAGTGTTTTATCTTTTGAAAAAGTGCAATAATAGACATTGATAGAGCGATTTAATTTTCGTATGACCGTGAAAAATGGTTTCTGTAAGTGTCTGTTATTTGCTTTATTACCCGAGGATGATAAAAAATTAAAACATGGACTCCTTGTTTTCGCATCCTCGTTCCCAGGGCGCTTTTCCCTGTCTAGGGCCCTAGGGACGAGGTTGTTCGGTTTTACTCGCCAAAGAAAACCCTAATATGGAAATGGCATTGTTCGATTGGCCAATTGTGTTACAGTATGGCGTCAAAGCGAAGTATCCATTGATTGCTATAAAGTTCACACGAGCGTTTGCTGAACCAACCAAAAGTCACGCGCGTTTGTATCCGTTCGCTAAACCAATGAAATCGCTCTATTTCCGTTCGTTTGTTGTTTCTGTTTTCTTTGCGCGATTCCATTTCAAGGTCATACGAAAAGTGCTCTAATGTCACTATTTTCAACATTATTTTTTCTCTTGTTTTCTTAAGTTCGTCATTTAGGTGTATAAGTAAGGCTACGATCACACGTGGCGCTCGACGAATTTTCGATTGTTTGAAAATTCGTGCGTTTATAAATAGGTGTTCCGTTCACACAGAACCACCTTACAGGGACGGATCTAGGGGGAGTGTACAAGGGGTACTCACCCACCCCCCCTCCCGAGATAAACTGCGGCTTTCTAATACAACTGGTATTCTGCAAGATATGGCCGGAGATATGTATGATTTGTATTCTCAGCAGTTCACATTATGTTATTGCCTAGTCAAAAGCCTTCGTCTTCGTATTCGCTTTTAAAATTTGTTTATACGTTATCAGTCAGTTACGCCATTCCTTAGTGTGCACCCCCTCCTAAGAAAAATCCTGGATCCGCCCCTGCCTTAACCGTACGAAAATTTAGACTCCTAGCTCTAATATATAAATTTCGACTCAAGGTTCAGAGCTTCAAACAAGAGAGGCCTCTTGGCTTATCCTCAATTGTTGAATCAGTCTTAATAGTGAGGTTTAAGATCGTCTTCAACATATGCTCGTCTCATCTCGTCTATTATAATTATGCCCTGGAGAGGCATGCGTTGAGTGATGTAAAATATTCATAAACCTTTTGTGAGAGCTTTCTGTTGTAAATCTCAATAAACTCAATCTTGTGGCCTTAAGTGAGCTAAGAAGTTGTTTTTCACAAAAATCAGTGTATGGTAATGCTTGTTTTCAAGCTGCCTCTTTTACGCACAGGGTACGTGCACTATTCTCCACTAAGCGGAAAGGCTCTTGAATCTAATGATGATGATGACGATGATGATATAGACATTGACGAATTGCACTGTCCTATCTTGTATTTAGTGTACAAATCGTTGATAAATTCAAAACGCTTCAGTCTGTTTTTGAAGCGAATATCAGGATCCTGCAAATATAATAGTGACAAAAACTAAAATTAGTAGAGGGTTTTTGCACGTCATCACTCCGGTATATCGGTTCACCAATCAACTATGTGATAATTGAACTCTTCATTATTGTAGTAGTTTCACTATTCACTTATTGCACTATAAATAGCCCAGTTAATTTACAAAGCCGCTTTCTTTACTTTACTTGAGTCAATGGAAATACTTTAAACACTGTCTTTTAAGCCCGCAATATTGCCCGGTCTCCATAGTGCTGGCATTTGCCGGATTTGCAAAATGGTCTCCTTTAGGTTACCCTGTTGGTTTTTGTGCTGTGAAGTCACGAATGACGAATTAGACACTTATTTTCCAGATAACTTACCGTCATGTGAGCAAATGACAAGGGTGACAATCTGTGATACCGATGGACAATCCACACATCAGGCAAAACGATAAATTTATACCTAAGAATTAAGGTACAGTAAACTTAAACTCAGAAAAAAGTCAATTTAATATTATCATTTAGTGAAAAGTGACTGTGTTGTTATATCTCTTTAAATCTATAATTTATTTTTCCACACATTATGGAGTATTCTGATTTTAAAAGCGATTACGAAGCTTTATGGAAAAAGTAAGGTTGTAGTAGAAGGTTTACGATAGACGAAGTTGGTGCTGAAAACAACAATGGCAGATGCCTGAGATCTCACTATCGGTTTAGGTAGATCGCCTTAAGAAAAAAACCGTTTTAAAAACCTACTTTCACCATTTTACATCTTGCCTAATGCCATAACAGTGCGGAAAGCGCGATAATAATTGAGAAAATCCGAATGTTTAGCAGTGATGTAAAGTTGAGAAAGAAAAAAAAAAGGAACGAAAAAGGGGAATATACCTCAAAATCATTAGCTCTATAATATGTGAAATCTTATTCATGCCATAGCCCGTAAATCTCTCGTCATAGAGTGGCAGTTCAGGAGTCATTCTGCAAATAAACGAGTGCTTTGTTAACGTTGCAATCTTAAAGAAATGTTATACTCGTATAGCTAGCACAAAGTACTGGTGGAAGACGTGTTACACCAGGTAAATCGCTGGAGGATTGTAAGTTCCACAGAAACGCTCCAATCCAGACCCTCAATGAGGGGATAAATGTCTCTGTCTTTTTTTAAGATGGTATTTTGATACCAACTAAAATTAATTAAAATTGATGATGTACTTATAAAACGCAGATTCTCTGCTAAATACAAGGTCAAAGTAGGGTAAAGTCCAGTAAAAGCTTTTGCATTTATGAATACTAGTAGTAATAACAAGAAAGGCCTGGGGGATGGAAGGGGAAACTTGACTTAAAACGTCAATTAGGGTCGAGCAGATACCAGAAACATAAGGAATTCCTACAAGGCATTCAGTTTTATTCCTTAATCAAAGACTAACTTTGGTATTTAAAATCAGTTGCATATTAAGCTATATAACAGCACCTAAGAATCAAATAAGGTTCGTATTTGTCCTGGTAGCCGCTGACTTCATACGACTCGTTGGCATTGTACCACTTGCTATAGTTTGTAGAGCTATGAGATAATGGAGACTCGATCTGCCCTGGGAGGTGGTCAAGGAGTCACGGTTGTAATATAACAGTGGAGATCATGGGTATGGGGGCTTTCTAATAAATCGGAAATAATCGACAGTAATTAAAGAGACCTTCTAGTTTGGGTTGCATTTATAGCTTTGAAACGATTTTTAAAAAAGGCTTGGCCAAATCTCATTACCTTATTCAGAATACTTGACTTATTTTGAAAACCTAACGGCTGATTGAGATGTACACTACCTAAATTGCACTGATTTGGCCCCATGAAATTATAGTAGTTTAAGTACTTAGAAGATTCCAAGGCTCATACGGACTACTTTTGTATCCAGGAGGGTCCAGAGGATATAAAGCAGCATGCAGCTGGCTTAATCAAATATCGTAATTTTCACCATTACAGTGACAGGAACCATTTCAAGGTCTTTCAAATCGCGCTATCATAAAACTTAAAACTTCTAGAAAAATGACTTAATTTTCATCTCTACCTTTTTTATGTATGGGTGCTGTGAAATTTTTTTTTTTCAGAACAGCAAGGTTAAGAGATTAAAGTATTATGGGAAAGGATACTAAATGGAGACAGTTTCCTTTTTCTTTTTACCATTTTGACGAGCTTCTCTTTTGTCTCCGGGAGTTCTCTTGTAAACTGCAAGAGAGTGGAGTGAAAATAATTTTATTTCATCCTACTTAGCTCGCGTGGTCTTTGACTCTCGTTCCTCGTTACGTTCTTTGCTCCGAAACCACACGGAAGTGCTTGCTACGCAGGCTACGCTGACTAAATCCTACGACATAAACCTACATGTCTAACATCTACAGCTAGGAAACAGAACCTAATATCATGATTTTTACTATGAAAATTTGTCCTCCTCAAGTTAATCAAAAAGAGACCATAGTTGCAGAGGCAACGGGTTTCGTTTTCGTAAATCCAGGGACCTGGGCACTGTAAGGAAACATCGAAAATCTCAGTCAGCAGCCAAGAACCGTTGTCAAAACCCGGCGCTTCAACGCGCAATGCAAACTGTCAAAACGACGGTTAAATCGCATTCTAAAGGTCGTTCCCCCTTTGTCGTCTCTCCACAGGGATACTCCCAAACTTCTGTGAGGGGCTATGCGTCGCATATCTAAGTAGTTTATGTAAAGGAATACTCTTAGAATCTCATGATTAAAGAAAGACAGAACTGAATCGAAGAACAAATAGAATGATGACAGTGCAGCTCTGCTAGTTAGAGTATTTTTACAATCAGTGGGCTGCCTTGTTAACTGTTTTTTTTGTGTGTGTGTTTAAAGTTTACTTAATTGAATACAGTTTGAATTGACCAACCAGATTTCTTGCACCATCAAATGCAGGAACAACAAAGGCCACCTTGTCATCTGTATTATTTCTTTTTTTATTGTACTCAATGATATTATCTCTGAAAAGAGTTTCAGAAAGTCAGTTAGTGGAAAAATATTTATGTTCCCTTGCGTAGTGAACAGGACACGCTTAAGTGAGATAGTTTTGTGAAAGCTTTTACAATGCACTTGCTTACCGTGCAACGATTTCCAAATAGGGTGAAGGAACAAAATCCACGTCAACGAGAAATATATACTGCGTTTTAGCGTTCCTGAAAGATGATTGACAAGAATAGTCTAACAAACCTTGTAAAATATATGATACTCACTCGCTTATACTCACTCACTCCCTCACTCACTAAATCCGCTATATACTGCGCCGACTGTCGTTTAAGGCGTTAAGAAGTATCGACACCCTGCTATAACTGCTGCTGCTCTGGGGACTGCCTCAATAGTCAGTCCCTTGTGAATCAGCCTTTTCTTGACTCTCAGGTGGCAAGTTTCTTTAGGTCGCCATAATGTGAAGCTTGAATCAAGCGACAGCGGCATGTTCTAGCAAGAGACAATAAAAACCTCTCTTGCTCCTCTTGATCCTAGCCATCTCACTTACTCCCATGGATTGTCTCTTTGATGATCGCTGCTCCTGTCTTGGTCGGGAGATCTTCATTATTTGAGATCGGGCATTCAGTTTGGTCTGAAAATTTGAGGGGTGTAAAATGCTATAATACTGTACCTAAGCAAATACTTACCTGATTGCGATATTCCTGAGGCGATTGATTGGGTATTGTAGGCCAATCTGATGAAAAACCAAAGTCGACAGAGGCAATCTTTTCAGTAATAAACACTCAAATACTGAAATTTCACGACTTTGGCCAAATTTTTAAAGAGAAGATGTCTAGATAAAAATTATTTTACCGCAATTAGTATAAAGTTAAGTATTTTACACATTTAGCACACTTGACTTACCTTATTTCCATATATGACGATTACAGATAATGTGGAATACTTTGTGAATAAATGCGGTGGCAATCCCATCAACACCTCTCTCCTAAAAAGAACTCGTTTAAAGGTTGATGGTAAGTACTGGCTATCCTGTGTACAGCCGCCCCCTCCCCTCAGAAAAAGAGGGCCCTGCTCCGATATTATTCTGAGGAGAGAGGTGGGCTGTACACCTCCGGTGAATTAAGGAATGGGTCCTCTTTACATGCAGGGTTTTATGACTTGATCTTGTTTTTTCCAGTATCTTCCTTTATTTTAATCTTAGACCGGTGTGTTTAAGACCAGAACCACTTTGGACCTTAAACACTCCTTTTTTTAGATCACGTGACCAGCCGCGCCCATAATTATGCAAAATTTGGACTTTGCAGATTACACCAGTTTACTGAATGTGACCACAATCGTTTTTCCTTCCATAATATTTCATTTACAGTCAAATAAGCTAAATTAATTGGGGATTTGTGAAATGATCCATTCCTGCGTAATTATTAGATATTTTTCTCTCGTCCCAGTCTCCCTCTTAACAAGAAACGTTNATGTCATATTACCATTCCAAAATCTTAAAATCCTCTTCAACATGGTTATTCGGTCAAAAGTTAGCTGTGTCACTAAAGTGATGGCGTCGGAATCCTAGAAGTAAGAGCAAAACAGAGAAATAGAAAATATAATAGTAATAATATAATGATAATAATGATGAAAATGATGATGATGATGATGCTGATGACGATGACGATAACGATGACGATGAGGATGAGGATGAGGATGACGATGATGATGATGATGATGATGATGATGATGATGATGATGATGAATATAAACATGGAAGGTGGAAGTTGCAAAATTCATTCGGTTGACACTCCCAAAAAAAAAAAAATTAGCGAGCTTTGCAAATCTTTTGTAGCTTTCAGCACAAAGTCGACCACGTGAAGCACAAATCTCTTTATCCAAGCAAAATCCAAAGGCAGATGAATCTTGGAGCGTTCAGCTAAAACCGTGAGGTTATCTTGAAATACAAACGTATAAAATTGTTACAACTTACGGTGGGTGAAGAGGCAGAGTACAATATTTCAGTTAGAAAGTCTCCTGATTTCAACTGTGGTCTTTTTGTCGATGCTTGGCATGGGGCTAGTAAGCTGTTTGGTGTGATATTGGTCCGGCTTCTAATTTTTTCTGGATAAAAAAATTGATTTTATAAAACAAAAATAGAAAGCTTTTGGTGAAAGATAAAGCAATTGATCATTTGTAGTTTTGAACAGTCGCTCTACATCGGTGAAACTTAACACTAGTTTCATATTAAGACTGTCATAATTATATAATAATAGTCAATAATAATGATGATGATAATTGTGGTACATGTAATATAATTACTACAATCAATAATATTGATTGTAATTTGGAGCATTCTAAGAGTGATAACAATGATGTATACTTATTAAGTTTGATGGGCATTTAGATTAGAGGTTAACCTACTGATAGTCTGATTCAGCCTGCCGTGATAGGATCAATGTTTAACGTAGGCAAGGCATAGTCTCTTATCCAAAACAGACTGTAGGGAACTCAGTAGGTTTTTTTTTTTTTTTATCAGTGCACGCACCAACTTTCTCAAACAAACCATAAGAACAGAACAAAGCATCCTCGTCCCAGGGTTCTTTTGTTTTCTAAAAGAGAAGATCTCTCCCTTCGCCGCTGTCACAGTAATATGGGCATCCCTGCGTTTTAGGCATCCCCATTCCCAAAACCCTGATGATATGGGCATCCTCTGTAACCCTAACCCTAACCCTAATCGTCAAGGTAATATGAGAGGGGGATGCCAATATCACTAGGGTTTTGGGAATCGGGATGCCCAAAACCGACGTAGGGATGCGCATATCACTATAACACCGCCATAATGAAAAACGTGAAGACCCTGGGGAAGAGGTTGTAGAACAATACACAAAACTGTAAGGACATAACGCTATTTCAAAATAGACAGTTCGTGCACATCGATAAGCCATTTCATGGCTTTTTACCGTATATGGGCTTTACAGCAAGGTCAGTAAAAGTGACGTAGCCTTCGTATCCAAGACAACCCAACATGACTGTAACACTAATAATCTGTTCCCCGTAACGTGAGATCTGAAAAAAAAAGGGATACTTGATGCACCTGATACTCTTTTTGAATAACGAGGGCAAAGTCTGTTCAGTGTTTTATTCTGTTATCAAAATCCGAGCTCAGTCCCCTAGCCTACGAGTAGTCCCCATTTTTCCTCAGGGATAGTAGAGCGTGCGAAACGCGAGCGCGCGTGAAAATCACTCCTCGCAAGAAAGTGCCTTTCTTTCGTTCTTTTTTTTTGCAACTGTTAGGAGGGTTAGGGTAACTTCTAACCTTGGTCATGCCGCTCAAGAAAGCTCATTTATGCCAACCCTACTGATTTGCAAACCTCATACCCGACACCGCGAGTTATGGGTATGTTTATATATAATTCTAAATCTAAAAGGTGCTAGTTGAAGAATATTCAAAACTTTTTACATCAAATGCCGTTCGACGCTATTCTTGTGAGTCTCGGTTCTGCTGGTTGACATGCAAACACAGGAACTAAGGAGGTCACTAAGGCCTCTTCTACAATTTTCATAAGTGTACGTATCGACACGCAGCGTATTTACATCGTTTTTACCCATCCACGGCACGAGGACGCTAAAGCGATTCAAACAAGATAACGTCCCGTGCGCTCTTTGAAGATCGTATAATTAGGCGTTTTCAAAGATCCCCACCCACAGGAAACCCGCAGTTTGGTGCCCATGGAAGGAAGGCTAATTCAGAGAAAAATAATCTCCGTTTTCAAAAATATCCCGATACGTGCGGTGGGGCTTAAGGATCGTTGAAACTGAAATAGTGTTGTTGCCTTGGCCGAATTTTTTTCATGTATATAAAGTGTTTTCCATACTTACATATTCCGCTTTCTTGCTCATTACTTTTCCAGCCAAATCTGGTAAAAAGTTTATCCTGAAAAACATCAGAGAAAGAACTCCTTTACTATAATCCTTTTCATTCAAGTTATAAATGTGCACAAAAAGTACATTTTAAAGCAAAAAGATTCTGTTTTGCTTCTTTTTTATCGTACTTGAGAAGTTTCCTTCTTCTACTTGCGAACACTACAAATACGCGAGCACCATAAAAGGGTTCATAAGCCTGCGAAAACGACAAAAGAACATTAGTGTTAATATGTGACATGATAAATTGATCTCATGATGAACAGCCAAGAAACCTGGGTCCTGTTTCTCGAAAGTCCGATAACTTTTAGGGCCCGAAAAGCTATTTTATGTTTGCCGTGTTTGCATTCAATATCAAAGTTTCATTAATTTTGAAATTGTTATAATAAAACTATCAGTTAACGAAGCAAAGTGACCGATTTGTGAGCTAGGAACTGTGCTACTATTCAAATGGACTTGATTTCAAAATTTGCCTTCGGAACCGAAAAGTTATCGGGCCGTTTGAGAAACGGGCCTCTGATTCGTTACTAAGCTGAACAACCTCGTCTCTAGGCCATTTTCTAACTGAAAAGCCCTGGGGACGAGGTTGTAAGCTGAACTAGCCCTCCTTGAGGGGAGAGGGGCGTCTGTACACTGGCTAAAGCTGAACAGAAAAGCATTCTTAGTAACTAGTTGGCCAAATCGAGTCCACTCAATCCCAGGAGGGAAACCGAGGGGGAAAGAGTGGAAGTCTATGCACCACTGGGAGATTAAAGATCGAACACGCTATGAGTCAATGTTCACCTGCATCAAGGCATGAAGACAGGGTATTATCCTCTTTTGGCTGTATTTAGTGTAACGCCATTCTACACTCATAACTTAAAAATCCTACCCTAAGTCGAGTCACCTCGATACCCGGAGGGATGCCGAGGGGGAGGGGGTTTAATATGTGGGTACCTCTGAGAGATGGAAACTGAACCCCCTATCGGACTATGTTCAGCTACATTCAGTGTAACGCCATTCTAGACTCTGCACCCACAATTTAGAAGTCCTATCCTAAATCAAATCACCTTCATTCCCGGAGGGAAGTCGAGGGGGACAGCGCAAACTAGACTCAGCACCGAAATTAGAAATCGTATCAGTAAAGAGATCACGCAGTAATATTCTTTGTAGAATAGATGCTGTGAAGAGAACAACTATTAAACAATACTTGAGTTAAGAATAGATAAAAATCAAATGTTTAAGAACCCAACTTTTCAGCCACCATTAGTGGCAACTGATACGGTGCTCTACGATTTCAATCTCTCTCTATTTGAGTTGTAATTCCCGCTACTTCTTTGAGCCTTATGATTGTTTTGTCATTGACAGACCTGTCGAAAGTCCCTGGAGACCCGATTCCTAACCAAAAGAAACTTTCTGTTTCCATTTTTTAAGCTAAGAATTCTGGGATAAACAAGTTGTATTAATTTTATTACTTTTTATTTAAGCTAAAACAAAAAACGCGAAGAACAGCAAAAATGATTGTTTACCACACCCTTAATAAATAAGCAGGAGGGCGCTTCATCTTCCACGAGGCTGTGCTGACATAAAACTTGAATCCTTTAATTGGTATATTCTTGTTAAACTGTTAAGCAAAAAAAATCGAGAATTGAAAATCGTGGTCTAGGTAAAAGACCGAAAAATACCCCTAAAAGAATCAAGTAGCGCCAACCAAATGGAAATATTTTCGATTTTCAAGATTGGGGTCCCCCCGCCGCCTCTAGAGGCTTGATGGACCCTCACATGGATATACTCTGCGCGAAATGCTCGCAGGCGCTAATCCACCTGATCCATCCATCTCTCGTAAGCGACCACCCTTGGTACACGACAAAGAGGTCGCTTACGGAAGGTGGTCGTCGAAGGAAAAGTCATAGATATAAGCTTAAAATGAAGTGATTAACGTAATTACATAAGGTTATTACCTTACAAGCTAAAACTTAGGCAAATAGACAACTGGCAAGAATGTTTCACTTCGAATAGGGCTTGGAACTGTTTAAACTTTGTACATAACCCCGTGTACATAATATTCTGCATCAATGTTACAATCCACCTGTTTACCTACAGATCGTCTTTCAACCATTTATTTTGTGAGGTAACTGCTGTAATCTGTCAGCACGCCTGGTCAACGCTATATAGAACTGAACTAATGCGACATTCGAGCATGGTTTTCTTACAATCATACGTGATGATCATGCCGGGTGGTCGCTTACGGGAAACAGAAAACAAAAGGACAAGTTAAATTTCTGGCTTAAAATGTGGTCGGGGTCGTTTAAGAAATTCGAATTCGAATTCGGTATTTGGCTGAGAAACAAAACGGTTATTTTGAAAGTGGTCGCTTACGAGAAGTGGTCGCTATGAGAGAGTTGACTGTATTAGGATGCGTGAAGGCAATTGGGATATTACACTGATTCTGATTCTGCTGCATGACTACTAGTCTACCGTAGATTGAAAAATATTAGCAGATTAGCATCTTATCTCACGTTCATTTTTCTCCATGTTCCGACCAACATCTGACATAAGAAGAGATTTAGAATCACGTTTACGGCAAACGAGAATTTGTACCACGTGACCAAGGTTTTTTTAAAAATGTCGTTTACTGTTCATTATAACTGCACGGAAACCAGTAGATTAATGCCAGTTTTATCCATAAGAATTGTTTCAGTGAGCTGTTTTTATCTGCTCATTTTCTATTTTGAGAATTTCTCAACTTGGATTTGCCGTAAACGTGGCTGTAAGTCTCTCTATTGCAGTAAAATAATAGGCTGGATTGTTATCAAGGTACTGATTGTTTGAATGACAATAATGTTTCCCGCTCCGTGATTTTAGTCACCTGACTTACCGGTAGATACTGATATGTCTCCACCATTCTTTGAGGAGAACACGCCACACTGAAAAACTGAGAAATTCATTTATTCGACAACGTTAACGTCATGCATATTACTGCTTTTCATTACAACAAATGTTTGCTCCGTGTAGACCGAGTACCCTGGAAGGGAGATAATGTGTATAACCCCAAAAGTCTAGCAACATCCCTAACGCTGAATAGGGCGCGTTTATTAAAGCTGCCAGTCCCCGAATGATTTTAGCGATGAGGGTCGTAGTTCCCTGAAAATCACTACGGAGGTTATTTAGATTGTTATTTTTTATCCGCATCTATCCATTCCAGGTCCAAAAAGTTGGAAAATAGATCCATGATTACCGTCACGAATATACACTATTAAGCCCAAGTTAACAAATGAAACTGTCAACATATTTAGTGTATTTGGTGTAGTCAGTTTACACTGACTACACTGAAAACATTGTGACTACATTGACTACATTGACGACACCAATTCACTAATGCTCAACCTACACACTACACTGACCACCCCATCACTAACACTTGTGTATATTCGTGACGGTAGTCGTGGACTTATTACCAAACGTTGTAGGGGATGCTAGTAACAGACACCTGTGGACTCCCCTCTCCCTCCCCCTCTCTTTATTTTCAGAGCGCATGCAGCACAAACTATTATAATAGCTACTTGCCTGTCTGGTTTTTCTTTCGGGACTTTGTTTGTATTCAGTGACGTCCCATTGCACATGTGACATCCACCACCCATGAAGAGAGAGAGAATTGTTTTCCATGACGTGCCTACTTAGTAAGTCTGGCCCAGTTTCTAGCACCACGTAAGGTCTCCTACTCTTCTTATTTATGCTGATACCAATTTTAGAGGGTAGTCCTTGTTCTCTGAGATCTCTACACAAGACCACAAGTTTTTTGATACTGAATTAATGGTAATGTGATAAGTGATCACGTAGGTTGGGTAAATAGAAGGTACTAAACTTCTGTTAAAATGCTAACCACATAAAGATAGCTTGTTATAGTTAAGCACAGAGTAACACGAAGAAGTCGCCTGGGGATCTCGAGTGTCCCTTCAAACGAGGTTTTAGGCCTACTTTATTTAGTTTTAGGACTCTCATGGCACACAATTACCTTAAATTGCTAGAGGTACCCGCCTTGGCTTACTTTTTATTTTTTCTCAAGAATTGTGAAGTCATTAGGATTTAGGATTAAATTTATGCTTTTGGTCATCACGTTCTAGATGTGCTTGCTGCTAAACAAAGTGGTTTCAGTATAATCCTTTTTCTATTTCCCGAAGTATCACGGAGGTTTCATTTTTTATGTTGTGCGAGGTGGCTTTCATTAAAATTCAAGGTTGTGAATCAAGCTCTGCAGCTCAGAGCCTGCGGAAAGTTACTGACCTTTCAACGGAAGCTAACATTTCCTCTTGAAATAAAGGATGAAGCAGGTTGAAGGTATATAATATAATCATAGTTGTTATAGTCCAGCGCCATCTTAGCAGCGCTCGTGTGAGCCCAAGGTATCTGCTTATCAGCACAAAGCAGTGAAAAGCCATTCTAAACGGGTGGTGCTAGTAATAAGGTGAATGAGAACTCCATAATCTGCAGAAAGCGAAACAACAGAGACATCAGCAAATAAACAAAATTTCAATCAAAGTGCAATCGACTAACTACACATGCCGACCAACTCTCGTGAGCTACCACCTAGACAATTGGCGACAAAATTAAAGGGCCTTTGTGAGGTTTTGCCAAGTCAAACGGGAAAAATGAAGCATTCACTCTCCCACCCCCTCCATGCAATGTTGTACAGTTTAACTCTCTCTAAGATGGACGACTTCGGAACCGGACCAATTAAGGGAGACCTTACGAGCAGCTCCTACACTATACTCGGGACCGACCCCCTACTGTCCGTCTCAGAGAGGTGTCCGGCTTATATTGCCTAGTCCCTCTCGGTCATAGCTCCGCTTGGACCACGTGACTAGAAACGCTTTGGCCGGGCGAAATAATGAGGCCTAGGGACTAGGCAACGGCTTATAGAGAGTCAAGGTAACGTGACACCAGTAGAAAGCTAAGGGAAGAATGTAACGGAAAATGGAATCATTTTCTTTCTTAAGTGTACAACCAAACGTTCTCCGCTTTGTGTTCTAAAAGTGCAACAGTCCTACACGCTGCAAACTGGAGAAAGACGGCAAAATATTAAGAATTTTGCAATTTACTGTCATGTTGAGAGCTTACATTTCCGTTTTGAGATATTTTTCACTGCATAACGCACTTCTCAAGTGTCTGTTGACGGTTTCAAAAGTGTCCGTTGTCCGTCTTAGAGAGTTGCCCATCTTATAAAGAGTATAGTTACAGTAAAATGACTGAAAATCGGCATGGACTAGCAACAGGACGGTCCGTCTTAGAGAGGTGTCCGTCTTATAGAGGTATCCTTTAAGACAGAGTTGAGTGTACCGCCGATTGTACTATTCTCAGTGACCATCCCTCATAGACGACCAACTATCCAATTAATTATGCCGGTCAGAATCCGTTTTCACGGTCATTGACCAGGAAAGTACACGGAGGTTACAATATAATGCGAAACATTTACCAGTCATCCCGATTTAGTGATAAAAATGCTTTTACTGACAGGCACCATAAAGAATATTTTTCCCAGAATGATATCAGTTTTACGCACGGGCGTGTGTGCGTACATGGCGCTACGCTCCTGGTCATGCAGCCCTCAAGCGATCAACTACCAAATTTTTGCCGCGATCTTTTGTGGAATGTGTGACTTCAAGCTATGAGCGATTACTTTCTCATAAAGCGACCAAAAAGCAATCTTCCTAAGATTCCCTTCAACCTAGTTCACAAGGCTTTTTCCCTTTTTGCCCATTTTTAAGGGAGAAAGTCCTGGGAAGGAGAATGGATTCGCTTAGTGGGCCCTAAGTTTATGAACACTTGGCAGTTTTACTCCGTAAGATGAAATAAGCTTATTTTTGATAGGAAAATCCGAAATCAAAAAGACGAAAAAAACTTACCTTGAACTGTGCTGACAAGGAATATTATTTTAATAGTGTTATTGGTTTAATATTTCCGTAACTGCTGAATCTAGTTTTACTGATTGAAGTACCATTGCCTCTTGTGGTACCATTGTCTTGTAACACCTTTTAAGCCAATCTAACTTGTGTTTAAATTGTCAGTTTCATTTACATCCTTTTGACACCCTTTTCATTTCTATTGCCACTGTACCTACCTGTTTCTCAGAAAATATATGTCCTGTGTGCTTCGTTAGAAACAAACTCGGCTATAATTCTCCAGAAAGTATCATTAAGAGAAGTAACTCGGCTGAGACAAAACGAAATACCCGAAGCTTTGGTGCTCGATAAAACGGTATTTGATCGCTTACAATACTCAGGACCCGCTGTTCATCTCCTGGCGAGGGGTCTTCCAGCTGGTGGAGAAGAAGTCCGCCAAAACAGTGAATGTTTAACCTGAAAACTGTCACTGACTTCTTGTAACTTGTAACTAACTTCTTTCGATTCCTTAGATTCTTATGTTCAGTCCTAGTGGCGTTGGTTCAAGAAGCTGTATTTTACCATTAAAACTTTTTCTCATCACGAAGGAACGTGCTTCCGGAGACGTAATGATTATCCATGTCAGACTAATTCTGTTGAGTTCAATTCACTTGGCTAGCTTCGAGACAGCTGCCAAATCACAGTACAGTGACTGACGACATTCGCACCCGTATTCATGTCTGTTACAACTCGTTTTTTCCACATGAATTAGTTCACCACCGGCGACTTTGGAATAAAAAACTACGACAATCCCATCTGTGTGTAATCAGTTTTCTGGTTTGTCTTCATACGAGGAGCTTTCTTTGTGAGCGACGTTGAAATGCAACAGAATTCAAGACGCGAGGATGATGTAAGGTGACGGAAGAAGTGCTCTGGTTGATGGCGCGAATCTGCGACGTCCGTTTCTAAGGACAATACAGTAGACTAGCAGGGATGTGTTTACAGTAGAACCTATACATCACAATCAATGTGAAACGTTATAAGCCGTTAAGTAGTTGTAGGTAAAAGGTAAAGACATTGAACATGGGCCTATGCAGGCTATTGCACTCCCCCCCCTCCCCCCTAGTCAGGGTGCCAGTCCATTGCAGCGTTACCTTCAGCAATATGTTGCCAGTACTCATTTATGCATCTAGGTGAAAGTGACGATAGTAGAGCAAAGTGAAACAACTACACGACTAGGTTTGAATCCCGGTCCCGCCGACAGTTACGAAGTCGAGTCGCCAGTTGTCAACCCTCTGCTCGGCCACCACGCCTTCAGAATGAGTTAACTCCGAGATGGTTCTAACTTTTGATTTTGAAGCAGTGAAGCTACAAGGCCCAACCATGATTCCGGCCAAGCCATTGTACAGTGCTTTTTTGTCCAAGTGTACTAGTTTTATGCTTTAAATTGATGACGACCGAAGCTTCATTCGATCTAGACCTTCTCTGACAGAGAACATGATGATCGATGAACTACTAGTACTTCAATCTTACTACAGAAACCTAACCTACTACAAAAAGTGATCTTTTCAGAGTCTTCACAAACGTGACGCTTTGTAGGAAGTTTTGGTTTGTTCTTATCTGATAATCATAAAGTTATCTCCTAACAGTGACCTGCCCGGTAATATTTTGTTCAGTAATAGCTAATAAGAAGCGAAAAACAAGCAAAGACGGAAATGTTTTGACAAGTGTACAGTGACCCGAAGGAAAACCGAAAAATAAAAACACTGTACCTCAACTGACAAGGATTGGAATACAATCAACTTTAGCTAAGCGGACAAATTTCGTAATAGACGGCATCTTGATGAACGAAACAACCATTTCATAGTTGAGTTTTGTTTCATACGACTGATACGACACTGAATTAAGCTATTCATTGAAGGTCTTAACCCTGAGTTGATTACTCAATATACTCGCCCTTTTACTGTTTAGAGAAAATTAACACTCGTTTAATACTTACCAGTGAAGTGTTAATAGAAGTCTCTCTCTATAGAGCCACGAACAATCGTCAGGACAACATGAC